AATTTCAATTAAGTTCTTGGAATTTTCTTTTATTTTCCTCAGTAATATTAATATTCTGGGAATCCAGCTTTAATAGCTAATTAGACCTCCTGATTGTGATCACAAAATCTCATATATGCCCTCAAAATGATCCATCATTTTACGAATATTTGAAAAAAAGGCCCCAACTTTATGAACATGTTATCATAAGGTGAGATGCACCATTCCATGAGCAACGTTGTCCCAAAAATCAAATGTAGAGGTACAAAACATGTCTGCTACGAAATTCTATACTAGTTTCATAATAAGAAATTAAGAATCAAGAACAATCCAGAAGTACATGTATGATGTGTAATAGCTAATAGATAGAGATTCGTCATCATATCATTGTTGTCATCATTTCCTATATTGTTCACTCAACAGCATCCTCATCATCTTTCCACACTTCAAGCACTCATTTTTCATTTCCCTCATCAAACTTGTGATCCTTCTCGTTTCTGGGAATGGATTTTTTTATTTAATAATATCAAGAAATTTAGGATGTTTGATGTAGTTTCTCCTTAATTTACAAGGTGCATGCATATGCTTCAAAAGGCACATCACAAACCTATCTCCATATCAAGGAATTAAATCTACTTCGAAACGTCCGAAACGTTTTCATTTTCATGAAAATCAAAATGAATATCAAAATCTTATGTTTCGAGGTATTTCAGTGTGTTTCGACTTATGTTTTAGTTGTTTCGACCAATGTTTCGGAAACAAATTTTTAAATTTTTTCTTTATTTCCATCTTGTTTTTGAAATGTTTCTGAAACATTCAAAACTCACCGAAACTATACACCGTAACGAAATTTTGATCCCTGCTTGATATATAATAAGATTTATGGATTTTAGAAGCAATATAATTTTTTTGGGGTTAATTACACTTTTTACCTCTAGAGTATCACCATGTACTCTGATCCATACAGTACACACATGCCAGCACAAACTTATAGAAAATATCGTCGGAACACCCACTCAAATCCCTCACAGTCCCTCCACTCAGAATCCATCGCTAAAACCCACGTCACATTGAACCCATCTGAACTACCTCCATAGCCAAGTCGGCCTTCCAGCCTTCCATTTGACAAATCACCTTCACAAATCAAACCTACAACCACAATCACTGACCACGGATATGCAAGAAACCCATCACTTCAACTTCAACATTTCAGTTGACTCTATGCACCAGCGAATCCGGTGGTTTTTTGCGGAGCATAGATGAGAGAGGTCTTTAGGATAGAGAAGATCTACTATCTATATATTAATTTTATGCATATACAAGAATTTAGTATGATTCATATAAGGTAACACAGTAAATTTTATACCTAATTCTGGAAAAACTACAATGATATGAAAGCCCCTAACCTACGCTAACGTGCTACACACGTGGCAGTCTCCGTGACCAATTTGGGCTGCATTTCTAATGGGATTGAGTAGGAGCATCTACAATGTGTGAAGGAAGAAATTGACAAAAAATGTCTAGGACCAAAATGGGAAAATGTGGTTTTCTTTAGGGGTGAAAAATTTAATTAACCATAATTTTTTTCGGTTGAAGAAATCCATACTAAAGTCCCTGTTGTGCAAAGCTAGCTTCCCCGTAGAAACCCAAAACAATATCGCATCTTAAGAGGTAGGAGAGAGATAGAGAATAAGCTTTATTAGTGTATGATGAGTCTGGTTACTTCCAATGGATGTGGTTTTTCTTGTTGGGGGTGGGGGCCGGGAGGAGAATAGGGTAACTTTGGGTTGTTTGGCATTCTTGTTAAAATCTGTAGAAAAACATTATCCACCAGCCTCTCCAGATTCATATTGGTCTTTTGCGTGTTGCAACTTGGTATCATCTCAGTGCCGTCCCATCTGCACTTTGCTTGACTGAATCCAATAAGTTATTCTGAGAATTTGAATGTTGTGCTATGCTAGATAATAGGTATAAGTCAGTTACTAGCAAGTTGAAAGTATATTGAACACCGGCAGCTCAAAGAAATGGAAAGATAGTTTCATGCTTCTCTCATAATAGACCATGTTGCACAATATTCAGTCAGTCATCAGTTGCTTATAAATATTCTTCTTCTCTGTTTATCCTTAATTTGAATTGTCTTTTTCATTTTGTCTCCCTAAGTTTGCTTGTGCATGGAAAAACATCCTAATATATTGATTTCCGTCCTTTTCCGTGATATTATTCATACTCATATCCAGGCAAGAATGGATCAGCTGAAGCTTATGGGCCCTGTTATATTGAATGGGATTGTGAAGTCCCTAGATAGTAATTCAGCTTCGGAATCAGGTTTACTTTTAGTGCATCATTGTGATCTTAAATTCTTGGTGGAAGCATTATAATTGACTTGTTGATCCATATAATAACGTTCATCCAGATGCAATTGCTAGGGACACCAAAACCTTTGCCTTTCAAGCTATTGGATTGCTTGCACAGCGCATGCCTCAACTTTTCAGGTTTTATTTATTTTCTGTTGGTAATTTCTGTTTTTTCTTGATGGCGCGAACTAATGGTACTGCTTGTTCTATTAGAGATAAAGCTGACATGGCTGTGCGGCTTTTTGATGCTCTAAAATTGGAAGCTCAGTTTCATCGTCTTGTTATCCAAGAGTCCACCAATTCCCTTGCTCTAGCATATAGGGTATTACATTCTGTTTGCTGTCCAGGTTGTAATTTATTCTGTTTCACCTCTTGATTTCATTGTTGAGGGTTTCTTACTTGTGTATCAGGGGGCACATGCAACCGTGTTGAAGGATCTAGAGTCACTTCTGCTGATAAATTCTCAAGTGGTACAATTATTAACAGCTTGTCGCCTTAGACCTGTGTTGTTTGATTTGGTTTCACTTTGTTGTTTAGTTATAGAGGTCTTTCTGTTATTATATGACAACATTAGGTTTCAGGGAAAAACTCCTTCATCGTCACTGAAAATTTTTCTTCTTTTGTTTACAAGGAACAAAGTGAAGTACGTTTTTGTGCTATCAGATGGGCAGTATCCCTGTTTGACTCGGAGCATTGCCCAAGTCGGTTTATTTGTATGCTTGGGGCTTCAGATTCTAGATTGGATATAAGGTAGCTTGTTATTCTTTATATCTAATAAACTCACTTTATGCTTAGTCATGATGCAATTTTCATATTTACACATCGCTGATTTTGCCTTTAGGAATTTATTTGTACTCGGAGGCTTACTGATGGGGATCGTGGAGGAATTGGATAGATATTATTGATTAATTATGAGAGTTATTTAGATACTTTTAATATTTATCTTTTAAGTATTTTCTTTTAACTTTTGAGGGTTTATTTGTTATTATTTATTTATTTTAAGGTTTTTGTTTCTCTATATAAAGGGATGCATGTAAGGGTTTTAAATTAGACTTTGATTATTATTAAATACTATATTATTTCCTTTTCAAATTTTTTCTCTTTTCTCATCCATTTTTTCTTCTTTTTTCATCCATTTTTTCTTCTCTTTTCATCCTTAAATATTTTCTTCCTAGTCTACATCAATTTGGTATCAGAGCTAATACGATCTATATCAATTTGGTACCAAAACTGTTATGATCTACATTAATTTGGTATCAGAGCTAATACGATCGATATTAATTTGGTATCAGAGCTAATACGATCTACATTAATTTGGTATTAGAACCCAACTTCGATTTGTACAAATCACAAAAAAAAAAAAATACTATTCATCGCACATTGTTCACTGTTCATCAAAAAACACTGTTCATCGTCATTCGCAGTGTCAAAAAAAAAAATAGAATCGACCTAAAAAAAAAAACAGAGCTGTCTCTGCAGTCTTGAAAATTGCAGCAACATCCCAGCTATTCTAGAAATTATAGAAACACGCTAGAAAGTTTCAGAAGTTGCAGAATTACCACTAGAAGTTTCAAAAATTATAGAATCTTCCCCCCAGAAGTTTGAAAATTGTAGAAACATTCCTAGTAGATCCATAAAATTGCAGAATCATCCCCAAAAAGTTTCAGAATTTTCTCTTGATTATGGTATGCATACTCCCATAAAATTTGAAACTAATATTTTTATTCATTGAGAAATTAGAGAATTTGTAAAGGGTCCAAAATACATTTTTTTCTATTTGACTTTTTTGAAATTGTCAATTGTATTTTTGAATTTGTTCTTATACCCATTCTCATCTTTCAAGAGTCACTCATGAGTTCCTCTAATGCACATGTTTCAAAAGTATCTTGTCGAGGTCATCATCATAGGAAGTCTAGGAATATTTACATGGAGTCAACCCATATGACCACACTAGTCAAAGATTCTTCTATATTTAGTGGCACTTTAAATCCTTTTGAATTCTTGGATTGGTTAGCTAATTTAGAAGAACATTTTGATTGGCATGGTATGTCGGATTTCATTTTGCTAAATTGATGTTGGAGGGTTCCGCCAAACAGTATTGACAAGCAATCCAAAGAAGCCTAGACCCCTTAGGAGAATCACCTATCACTTGGGTTGAAATAAGATATAAATTGAAAGAGAAATATTTGCCTACTTCCAATATGGATCAAGTTTATGATTAATAATTTAATCTTAGACTATTTTTCAAGTGTCTCTGATTATTTTGCCCAGTTCGATTATCTTATGTACTTGTGTGACATTGTTGAAGAATCTTAGACAATTGATCAGTTTATTCTTGGGTTGAGACAAAAAATTAGTAGGGAGGTCAAACAATACACTTTTAATACGTTAGTTGCAACCTATCAATATGCTCTAAAGGTTGAGAGATTTTATAAAAAATCCAACTATAGTTTGATGGGTTCTCAATCTCAGCTTGTTGATAGGACATCTTCCAATTTTAATTCTATCACATATGAGTATCATGATTATTTGAATGATGTCTATGTTGTTTCTGCATGTTTTTCAAATTCTAGGGTAACCATGAATTTTGATGACACACTCTCACATACAAAAAACAAGATGTTACTCATGGTGACTACTAATTCCCTTGTTCGGTTTCATCAGATTAGAGCTCACCTCCTTCGTACCAACAAAAGTCAATACCTGAAGAAGGTGAGTTTGAGTCTTTGCCAGAGTCAAATGTTGAGTCACCACTTGTAATGGAACTTGCTGAAAAGTCTGTTGAGTCCACACTTATGAAAGATGTCGAGCATATTAAGTTATCTATTTCAGAATCTTTTGGTCATTATTTTTGTCTCCTATTTCAAGTCAATCTAACTTTGGTCCCAATTCTTTCCTCTCTGAAATAGTTGACTTTATTCATACTATCAAAATTTCACTTGAGTTGGTATTTAATTATTTTCACCACCAAAACGTTATTGTTACTTCTTTGTCATCGATGTCTTATCCTATTGAATACTTTTTGTTGAAACTTAATGAGAATTGTTTGCTAATCTCGAATTTGGATCTAATGCTTATGTGCTTAATTTTTTATTAAATGTTAATATTAGTCTAGATTTTTATTTGGAGGACATGTTACGTAATCGAGGTACTCCAGAACCTTCTATTTTGTTAGCCGGTGTTGTTACAGATGAAATTGCTTATTCTTCAGCACTAGCTCTAGTTCTTATCTTTTCACTTCCATCGCATATTTCGGGATAAATAGATGATGTGCTACGTGACCAGATTTACATTGCTACAGATGGAGATTCTTGCATTTATCCTGATCGATGGAAAGATGTTGATGGTTATTTCATTCTAGATAAGGTGTTTTTTTATCTTCATACTGCTCTCTTAGGATACTTCTACTTTGAAGTCTCTTTGGCGGAGAGTTTTTTTCGGGGAGAATGATGATGATCGTGTAGGAATTGGATAGATATTATAGATTAATTATGAGAGTTATTTAGATACTTTTAGTATTTATCTTTTAAGTATTTTATTTTAACTTTTGAGGGTTTATTTGTCATTATTTATTTGTTTTAGGGTTTTAGTTTCCCTATATAAAGGGATGCATGGAAGGGTTTTAAATTATATTTTGATTATTATTGAATATTGATATTACTTCCTTATCAAATTCTTTCTCTTTTCTCATTCCTTTCTTCTTATTTTTTTATCCTTTTCTTCTTATTTTCGCATTCCTTTCTTCTTCTCTTCTCATCTCTAAATTTTTCCTTCCTAGTCTGCATCAATTTGGTATCAGAGCTAATACGATCTACATCACTTACAGTGTTAATGGTTTTGATATGTCCTTGCCATCTCTATTGTTATGGACCCTTTTATTTTCTGTTGCTCATCTTCCTCTCCCTCTTCTCCTTCTCCTATGAATTTGGGCAGTGGTTAGCCTGCATGTTGTTTAACTTTAAGTTAATGGGCTGATGTTAAAAAAACTGCAGTAAGAAACCTCTTTTTCAATAACAATCTCCAAAGTGACCGAATTATCTCCATATATCCACATTAAAATATATTCATCCAATGGAGTGGATGTCAGCTACTGATACATAACCTGGCTGAGAATTCAATCAGTCAAGTCCTTAATCATGCCCCTTTGATACTAATTTGGCTTTTTTTTAATTGCTTACAAGTAATAAGGCTATGGAGAATGTTTGAGAAGAATGTGAAAGCTAAAGAACTGGATCCATTTACACCTTGCGTGAAATTTCTTAGTATTACACTTTAAAGGATCAGATTTCCCATAACCCACTGCTAAGTGCTAAGCTACTTGCTATTCTCATTCCCAATCGTGCTTGCCAAATTTTAAGACAGTCGGCAATGAATGGATGTCTAACCAATAGTGCTTCAAATTGTAGTTACATTGAAATTTGAAAATGATTTGTGTCGGTTGGACCTCTCATTAACAAGTATGATCTGCATGAGACGAACATGTAATATAATAATAGGTTTCAAGAAATTTTAGTCTGGCAGAAAGTCATTCAGGGTTGTATGAAGATTAGAAGGACCTGATGTGAATTTGGTTAACATTGGATTTGAGTTTTCTGAATTTAAAAAATACTTGGTATTCTGTTGCGTAAACTATGATTAAAATCGATTGAATATCATGTAGCTTGTAAGCTGCACTGAGTTATTGTGGCAATTCATCTCCACAAGATGTAGCTATTCAAATACACAAGTGATAATATAGTAAAATGCCCTAAAAGGTAATCTGGAAAATCGAAATGTTTTCCCCAAGGTTTTTCGAAGTTGAAAGGACTTTTGCTGACATTTTAGGATATTGTATTGACCTAGATGCTAGTTTAGTGATATAATTATCTTCTCTTGCATCGTCAAGTGTAGCACGGAAAATGATTCCACCATTAAATTATTCAATAGGTGCAGTTTTGTCCTACTTTTCGACGAAGGCATTAATAATGAACTGTTGTCCTCGTTCATTGTCAGTTGCTGATGAATAATGGGCAGTATTTTGGTCCGAAGTGTATTTTAACGTAATTATATTCTAACCAATTTGACAGTCAAACTTTTGGAGGGGATGAATGGGCTAATATAGGCAAAAAGAGGTTGAGGGATGTCAGTGGATCCCTGTTATTTCGAGTAACTTTGGGAAGGCAAATTAACTCTGTGGACCCCTGCCCCAACACAAAAAAAAACAAAAAGAAAGAAAAGAAATGAAGAAGTGAAACTGTAAAAAAGAGGAAAAGAAATGAAACAAATTAAAATCATTCCATAAGATACTTTGTTGATCTCATCATACCAATATATTTGTCACTTCTGTCATCTGATGTTAGCTTTTATATGGTTTCTTTGTGAGGTGGAATGGTTGATTATTGATGGGTTTCGTTTTTTTTTTTTGTTCAGGGAAATGGCACTCGATGGTCTTTTTCTGGGTAAAGATCAAAATAGAACTAACGGTGAAAATATCAATGTCAAGTACCCAAAACTTGGAGACATGCTAGATTATATTCTTAAACAGCAGTCAGGGTTGTTAGATTCCAGCGAAATGAGGGAAGTAAAGTTGTCTTTCCCATCCAAAATGTACGTTGCTATGATTAGATTTTTGTTGAATTGCTTCAAGGCAGATGTGGAGCAAAAGAATTCAGTGGACAAAATGTCCGAGTTTTTACCATCGGTGGTTCAAATGTGTTTGCTGCTTGAACATGCTATGGCTTATGAAGGCTCTGTTGAATTGCATTCTAATGCCTCCAAGGCGTTAATTACAGTAGCATCTCATGTACCAGAGGTAGATTTCATGGATTTCTCAACTCCTCTTTTTGTTTGCTTCTCCTATGTAAGTATTTCCTTCTTATGTAAGCTTTCCATGTACAGATGGTAGCATCTCGCTATGCTGATAAAATACTGTGGCTAAAGCAATTGCTTGGTCATGTGGACTTTGACACCCGTGAATCTATAGCACGTTTGCTTGGAGTTGCTTCCTGTGCTCTTCCTATTAATGCTTCATCTGATCTAATTTGCGAGCTAGTTTCGTTACTTGATGGATCACCTAAGTTGAGGTTTGTAGTTTTGATCTGCATGTTGGTTGGACTCATTTTCCACCACTGTGTTTTTGTAATCTTCTCTGCATCTATAAAATTTCGATTCTTATAGAAAATGTTTGTACTTCTGACATGATACATGGGTGTTGCTGTTGAATTTAAATAGAGGTTGTCTGTATTCATGAGGTCACCGCTTAATTTTAACATATTATTCAGGTTTGAAATGCAGCACGGAGTGTTGTGCGCCCTAGGATATGTTACTGCAACCTGCATGTCAAGAACACCTACTGTAAGTCATATGATTTTGATTTCAGTCCTAATGTTTTTTTGTTTACATCTCATCTGAAATGCATTCAGGACACTTGCTACAAATGTTGGTGTTTTCTTAACTTCTTATTTTTCGGAAGGTAAAAAGTGAAAATATAGATTAGCTAGTGCAAAGAAAAAAAGCTACATGTAGAGAGGATAGAAGAAGAGAAAACCCATATGCGGCACTCTAATATTCTATATTGATAAAAAGTGAGTACAAAAAACATATATAAGGAACCCTACTGGTAGGAAATAACTAGACTACCCTTAATGATAAATAAATATAATTACAATCCTAACACCCTCTCAAAAATCATGATGTGACTGTAGGAAGTATCAAGAGTTTGTCAAGAAAAAAACAAAAAATGCGGCTTGGTATGAGATTTCGTGAAAAAGTCTGCTAACTGTATAGTGGAAGAAACAAAAAGTAAGGAAATAGTCTTAAGCTGAAGATGGTGACGCACGAAGTGACAGTCAATCTCGATATGCTTGGTCTTATGGACAAAATTGAGTTGTGTGAAATTTGAATGATACTTTTGTTGTCACAATACATCGGAGTAGGACCACAAAAGGAAACACCTAGATCGGCGAGCAACTATCTCAACCAAACTATCTTCAATGTGGAAGTAGTAATAGTACGATATTCAATCTCAATAGTAGAACGAATAACAACAGGCTGCTTCTTATTTTTCTAAAATATAAGGGATCACCCAAAAAGACATAGAAACTAGTGGTGAATTTATGATCAATAGCATCACTAGCCCAATCAGCATGAGAAAAAGCAGGAAACTCCATAGCAGAAGTGGAGCTAATTTGTTAATCGGGCCTTGTGGAAAACATTAGCGATATATTTGACTGAGAAAGGAGATAATCTTTTGGGGACGAAGCCATTTCGATGCCTACAAAATATCGATGGGGACCAAGATCCTTCATCTCAAACTATTGTTGTAATTAAGCCTAAAAGATTGAAATACTCTTGGAATCATCCCCAGTAATAATCATATCATCAACATATAAGAGGAGAACAATTTGACTAGCGGAAGTAGAATGAAGGAAAAAAGTAGAACTATGATCACTTGAATGAACATCCAAGTCAAAGATCACAGGAGAGAATTTCTCAAACTAAGTTCGTGGAGCCTGTTAAAGACCATACAAAACTTTTCTAAGTTTACATATCTCACTTGGAATGTGAGAGAGATCAGGAGGAGGAACCATATAAACCTGTTCTGCCAATTAACCGTTCAGACAAGTATTCTTGACATCCATCTGAAATAGTTTCCATTGACGAATAGCTTCTACAACACTTAAAGTATGAACAATAGTCATCATTGCAACAGGAGCAAATGTATCTTTGTAATCAATGTCATATTCCTGTACAAAACGCTTAGCAAGCAATCTAGCTTTATATCTTTCAATAGAACCATCTGCTTTGGTTTTAATTTTGTACGCCCATCGACAACCAACAGCTTGCTTATTGATCGGTAAAGGCACAAGATTCCATGTCCCAATTTTATGCAGTGCATAAAGTTCTTCATTCATAACCTGCTGCCAAAGAGGATCAATTGATCAAGAGAAGCCTCCTGATAGGAGGTAGACTCAGAAAAAGAATGAATGAAAGATAAAAATGAACAAAAATCAGAAGAATAACAATTGTTAAAAAAACTAAGGCAATCTGGACACTTACAAATGTGCTTAGGATAGCGAGAAGAGAAAGGATCCACATCATCAGAGGCTGACAAAGACACAACTGAAAGAGTTAAAAGGGCTGGAACTGTATGTGTGTTAGTTTTATTAATGCGAGAGTAAGTGTGAATAATAATAAGGGACACTACTGAAGACTGAGACGAAGAACGAATATCAGAAGTGAGCATGTCATGATTATTAGAATCACTAGAAGTATCATTAGGGAAGATGTTGATATATATAAGGTCAGATCTATTGAAGGACTCAAAAACAAAAAAGAAAGGAAAAGAACGGAATATGCTTAATAAAGACCATATGTCTAGATACGTACAATCTTCTGGCAATAGGATCATAACAACGATATCCTTTTTATCCATCACCATAACTAAGAAAGATACACATAGAAGAATGAGCAGATAAGTTATTGCGTTCAGCTTTTGCAAGAAGTGTAAAACATGTACAACCAAAGACACGCAAATCAAAATAGTCATGAGGTTTTCCACGTAACTGCTCAAAAGGCGAAACACCTGAATTAATAATAGAGGGAATATGATTAATGAGATGAACAACAGTGAAAATAACCTCTTTCCAAAAGGAAGTGGGAACTGATGTAGATAAGAACAATGAGTGAGCAATCTCCATCAGCAATACCATTCTGCTGAGGAGTGTTTGCACAAGAAGGCTCTTGAATAGTACCATCAGATTTCAATAAGTCAAGAAAATGATTGTTCGTTGGAAGTGATTCCTATCACACATTGGCTTTCATACTTCAAGATTCTGCCATCTAGAAGTGATTCCTGTCACACATCGGTTTCATACCTCAAGATTATTAAAGGAATTCTTCCATTGTTTTGAGTCTTGCTGCTTTGTATATGTTGCTTTCCATTCCCCATAATTGGCAAGTGATATGGTGGAGTACTATGGTCAATACTTTGAATTTGCTGTAATTTGCCAATTCTAATAGCTGTTCAACATTACTCTGTTTTGGATAAGAAATAAAAATGTTTGGTGGTTGAGCTTTCTGCCATTTATTACGGTTTATTTTATGTTTTGGGCTTGCTACTAGTTTGATAACATTAGTTTGCGTTCTTGACAATGATCAAAATATCGTTTCGAAACGGTCAAAACGTTTCCGTTTCCAAGGAGACCGAAACGAAACATTAATGAAATCGAAATTCTATTATTTCGAGGTATTTCATAATATTTCGAGATATTTTATAATATTTCAATGCATTTGCACAATTATTTCGGAATGTTTCAAGATATTTCAAAATATTTTGATATATTTCAATCAATGTTTTAAAAACATAATTCTTAATTTTTTTTTTATTATATTTCCGAAACGGGTCGAAACATTTTTGAAATACGTCGAAACGTTTCCGTTTTTTAGGTGACCAAAACAACACACCGAAACAAAATTTTAATCCTTGGTTCTTGATATGTTTGTATCAGATTACATCTAATGTTTATCTCTTTCAGATCTCAGAGTCATTGCTTCAAAGCACAGTGAAAGGTCTGGTTGTTGTTGCTAACTCTGAGACTGCAACACTGGCTTCTGTAGCCATGCAAGCACTGGGTCATATTGGACTTTGTTTTCCACTCCCTATGCTACCTCAGGCCTCTACTTCAGGTGAAGTTTGCATTTTCTGTTCATTTTCTGCTGAAAGTCCATGAGTTACTTGATGTATGCTTATCATATATTTCTGGAAGTGGTTATAATCTTTCTCACCTTTTGTTTAAAAGCAGTTGACATTTTGACATTGTTGCATGAGAAGTTGAGCAAGCTTCTTGTTGGTGATGATAACAAAGCGATCCAAAAAATTCTTATCTCTCTGGGGCATATGAGTGTGAAGGAATCATCTTTTTCACATCTAAATATCGCCCTTGATTTGATTTTCAGTGTTTGCCGGTCAAAGGTGTGTAGAAATTCCTTCTTGTTCTGGATGTGTTGTCATCTGAGTATTGTGAACCTTTTAGCAAGAGGCGTCATTAGGTTTTGTACTCAAGAATGTAAAACAGCCTTCTCTTTTCTAATTTTGGGGTTGAGCAGGTTGAGGATATCTTGTTTGCAGCTGGGGAGGCTCTTTCATTTTTGTGGGGTGGTGTTCCCGTGACGGCTGATATGATCCTCAAAACCAATTATACTTCACTTTCCATGAGTTCAAACTTTCTCATGGGAGATGTGTCCTCGTCTCTGTCAGGATGTAGCTTTATGGAGTTTCAAGACAATGAAGATAGCCATGCCAGTGTTAGAGATGTGATTACCAGAAAGCTTTTTGATGTTTTGTTATACAGTAACAAGAAGGAGGAGCGCTGTGCTGGAACTGTCTGGCTACTATCGCTAACAATGTATTGTGGTCATCATCCAACTATTCAACTTTTGCTGCCAGAGATCCAGGTTTGTTATTAGCTCCATAGCATACCCCGAAAGAGAAGTCTCTGCCATACTTTCTAGTTCTCGTATAAATTTGAACAATTTTGAGATCTGTATATTATTTAATTTCCTAGTAATTAGAATTGGTTTACTGCCACAAAAGGGAACATTATCTTATGGTTGTTTAGGGATCATGAAATGGATATATCTAGGACTTGTTGCATGGTGGGGAGTACAACTGCCATGATTCAAGGTTGCGATATTGGTTATTGACTCGAAGAGCTCTGACGCACATTGCGGCACGATATCGGGCAATAGAACCTAAAATAAAATGTTGAACATGACGAGAGATGCAGGTTTTATACCACAATGTTGCGGAATTGTATTGGCCGATTTGGATATGACTTGGCCGACTCGTATTGGTATCGGCCGATACTTTGAATCATGACAACCGCGACTTCTACAAAGACCGTTTGTTCTACTTTTTACTTTGGCTGAACGGTCAGGGCATTATGGGAGAACCTATTAGAGTAGTGCGATGTTGCAAAGGCACAACTTCCCTCCAGTTCAAGGCATTCCATCTATCTATTTCTCAGTAGTAGTGGTGATTTAAAAACACACTCCTGCTTCAAGTTACAGGCAATCCATACTTGGATTAGGATACTCCGCATGGAGCTGTTGAGATATTGGCATCTACTAGGGGAGATCACAATTCTGATACCAAAATTTCAACCTCTAGATTAATTTTTCTCCTGAACAGTGTACAGTAGCTATTGGGGGCCTATCAATTTCACAATTCTTTTTCTCTGAGGATGTGTATGTTTGGGTTCAAAGGTGATTCCTGCTACTTAACAAGGCTGCATATATTTATATATTTGGAGACAGGGTATTCACTATAATGATTCAGTTACCCCTTACTGATACTAGTATTGCCCACTAATACTCCCCCTCAAGCTGGCCTTTATTTTTATTTTCTGTTAGAAAACTTCCTTTGCCTAGTCTTGGGAACCATTTGAGAAACTGTTTGTATGAATGCAGGAAGCATTTTCACACCTACTAGGTGAGCAAAATGAACTTACACAGGATCTGGCATCCCAAGGCATGAGCATTGTGTATGAGCTAGGTGATGCTTCCATGAAAAAGAACCTAGTAAATGCACTAGTGGGAACTTTGACTGGTTCAGGGAAGAGGAAAAGAGCTGTCAAGGTCAGGACAAATACATATACTGTATTGTGTTTTGTGCTTCCGTTTTTGTAAATTTTTACTTATTCTTCAACGTCTAAAATTTCGTGTTTTTTTTTTGTTATTCAGCTTGTTGAAGATTCTGAAGTGTTCCAAGAGGGTGCCATCGGTGAAGGTCTTAATGGTGGCAAACTCAGCACTTACAAGGAGCTCTGCAATTTGGCGAATGAGATGGGGCAGCCAGACCTAATTTATAAGTTCATGGATTTAGCCAACTATCAAGCTTCTTTAAATTCTAAACGAGGTGCTGCTTTTGGGTTTTCTAAGATAGCCAAGCAAGCAGGGGATGCTCTACAGCCACACTTACGTTTGTTAATTCCGAGGTTGGTTCGTTACCAGTATGATCCAGATAAAAATGTGCAGGTACACATCCTTCATCACCAGGGAAATTGATATATTCATCAGTTGTTCAAGTTTCTTTAATATACTTTTGAGTATGCAAAGTTTGTTGCTTATGCTTCAATGTGCAGTTTCCATGTGTCGTGTTAGTTCCCTGCTTGAACTGTTTCTTTCCTTTTTTTCTTTTGAACGTCTTTTTAAGTTTTTCAGAAGGTGTCCAATTTTGTTTTCGTACTTCCCGTTGGTTACAGCTTTAGTTCTTCGTTTGCTTTAGGATTCAATGGCACACATCTGGAAATCACTGGTGGCAGAATCAAAGAGAACCATTGATGAATACTTGGACCTTATTATTGATGATCTTTTGATGCAATGTGGATCCAGGCTTTGGCGCTCACGCGAGGCTTCCTGTCTTGCTCTCGCAGATATAATCCAAGGACGCAAATTTGATCAGGTTAGCAGCTTGAAATCATTTCATGGGCTGTAAGCAGTTGGCAAACGGGTGAGATGCCTAATTAAATATTTGTTGTAATTCCTGAGAAAACTTGAAAGCATAACCTGGAAACAACAAATTTGAACTAATACAGGAGAGTTGCATTTTGAAATTGACAGCTGGTGCCAGGAATGATTATTTCTCATGGTCATGGGAACAAGATTTTGTATTTGTGTCTGAATGTGCTGTATTGAACAGGTGGACATAGATAAATGTATTTTCTCGTGTGGAAAAACCTTAGAGAACTAAAATAGTTAGAAAATAGTTCAAGTATGACTATGCTGTTGAGGAGACTCATTGTCTCAATTTTCACATCACTAGATCAGCTTCAGCAACCAAGATTTTGTTGAACTTTGCCATGGTGTGATGGATAATTCATGGTTGAAGCACATGACAAAGGATGTGCTATTGACTTCAAAAGTAAATAGCAAAGAATTGTGTTATCATTTTCCATTTGGACAAAATATATTGACTTTCATTTTTCTGTGTATCTAAGAAAACAAATTGAATTCGAAGAGCTAAGAATAGGAATTTAATGAAGTATAAGTCTATGTCCTCTGATCTAGATCTACCATGCATGTCAGCATCAAGAGAATGGGTTGCAGCATTTTCTTTTCTTAATCTTGAATTTTTTACTATGATAATAATAATATATACAAGCACTATCTTTTTTTTGGTAGGAAAATAAACTTTCATATCATAGAACGAAAGATGCATATTTAAAAAGATAATTTATACAAGCACTATCATTTATTGGCTAAAGTTTCCACTTACTTGCATTTCGAAACCTCATTCCTTTTAGCTGCTACCCCTTTTCAAGTGTGATAATCACCTAAACCTTAATAGGATATACATAGAGGTATAATAGAGTTGTTATTATTCATAAATGATACAGATGTACACTACAAACACACACATATTTCCTGTTCCATATGCTGGATATGCACGCATGTATGTACCACACCCTCTTCCAAAAAGTGAATACCCTGTTTGAAAAGCCAATTTCTTACAAAGATACAGTTAGACTGTATTAGGAATTTTTGACCAAGAGCATCCTCCACTTTAATTCAAATATTTGAACTTTCCTCCCAAATTCTGTTTCCAATGTTGGCCTAGTATAGGATATATTTGGAGTGTAGATAATATAGTACATTGACGTTTTCAATGGGGCTGAGTTTTCTAACACCACAAAAAAGGTCCCTCTTATGGGGCAGAGGTGCTATAAGTTATGTTAAGAGGTTTTAAGTTTTAGAAACCACACTATTAATATTTTTCATGGTCTACAATTATCCCAACAATGTGGTGGATTTTTTTACTAAGCAGTTGATTATTGAAAATCAAAGATAGGCACTCTAGTGTAATTCCCTTTTTGTTGTTTGTAGATCTGTGTATTATTGCTCATGTCCTCCTGCCATTGGAACATGCAGTGCCACATTCTCTTCAATGTCAATGTCCTTTTTTTTTTCCAATGGCGTTAATCTAACTTCTCAAGTTTGTAGTAGTCTTCGTTCTTGCTCATGTTACTTGGATTTTCTATTGAAAATTTTCCTTTAATTTCGATATTCAGTTTTTACACTGATTGAAATACATTCTTTCCATTTAAATTTTACAACACTTCTTGCAAAATACATTCCATTCTTAGTTGTCATTGTATATTTCCTCGGACTGAATATAAAAAAACTAGCATTCAATGGACATTATTTTTTCAAGGAATTGTATTGCCCCTCTATTCACCATTGTAATTTTCAGTGGTATTTTTTTTAGATCTTTTTTCATTCTTTTTTGAATTTTCAAACTGATATTTTCTCGGTAATTTATGTAATGGAATATAATGTCATTTTCTATTGAAATTTGACTGTGCAGTATTTTGGGTGCAAAAACAACAAGCTTGTAGTATTGAGCAGGATATTAGAATGTACAATCTTCACAATCTCATATTCATATTGAATGTGAATGAAAGGACCTTCACTTTCCCATAACTTTAAAGATGTGATCACTTTTAAGCACCGTAAGAACGCGTTAGTGAGAGATAAGTTTTACAGATTTACTTGGGAAAACAAATGTATTTTTATGGTGATAGCTTGTGTAAACATGACACAGATATATTTGTTGTATTAGCAATAAATGACGTGATCACTTTTAAGAGCCGTAAGAACGCGTTAGTGAGATATAAGTGTTATGGATTTACTTGGGAAAACAAATGCATTTTTATGGTGATAGCTTGTGTAAACATGACACATATTTTATTGTATTAGCAATAAATGACGTTTGCAACATTCCAATCTTTTGCAGTTTCACACAATATGTTACTATACTGGGTTGAAAATGTTCCATCAAATAGATCTTGATCATGAAGAGCACTCAGCAACCTTGAAATATTTAAGAAAATTGATTTGGCTTTCTTCCAAATATATTTGTCTATGTCATATTCTCTAGCTCTATGTTGCTGGATTGTTATCATAGCTATGGTGCTTGATCTCACCAGAGTTTACCAAAGCACATCTATGTCATACAACTGATTATGTATAGCAAATAGCATCTATAGAATAGCTATGTTTGGAATTGGTGTTTTGTCCATGGGTTCAGTTTAAAACTGCCACCTTGTGGGTGACTTTTTTGGTTCGACTCTAATGTTAGCTACTTTGTGTAAATAATGCCAAAGTTTAGGATGTACCAGTTCATCCTCTCAATACCATCAATTAATGGGGGCCGAACTAGGTGATGGTCCTTTGATCTTTTTGTAAATACTTTTTGTATGCACCAACTTCTGGATGCTTTATGGTTCATTTCTATAGTTATATTTTCATATTGGTTAGTTAGCTGGTCGTGTCGTCTATTAAGTGTTATCACAATGGTTTTTTTGTTTCGTTTATGTATTTTGATGTATCTACGTCCTATAGGTTGGGAAGCATTTGAAGAAGGTATGGATAGCTGCATTTCGTGCCATGGATGACATAAAGGAAACTGTTCGAAATTCTGGTGACAAATTATGCCGTGCTGTTTCTTCACTAACAATGAGACTATGTGACGTGTCTCTCACACAAACATCAGATGCAAGACAAACAATGGATGTTGTGTTACCTTTGTTGCTAACAGAAGGGCTAATGAGTAAAGTTGACTCTGTACGGAAGGCATCAATTGGAATGGTTACGAAACTTGCAAAGGTAGCATTGTTCTAGATCTTAAAAGTGCATGAAATATTGTTCTTTGTTGGATATGTTGAGTGCCTTTCATGATTAGATTTCTCAAATCTAAACTGAATTTATTGGGGCAGTTTTTGGATTGAATTGCATCAACTGTTTTGATTTTAAATACATATTTTTCCCTGTTTGGCTTTTGCAATTACCTCTTCATTTTTACCTGCTAATTTGTAACGATACTTGTAAACAAATGACCTGATAAGCTTTTTGATTCAGATTGAATAGAGTTCTCCATTTTTGTTTGAAACACTCTGCATGCATCATATAGCAACCCGGCAAAAGTCAGGCCCATATACTCATCCTCTTGCAGTTATTCCTTGTGATCATGCAACTATTTATCAGGCCAATTTGGATATATCCATTCATGTTTGTACAATATGACTGACCCTTTTGACTTCCTGCTTTGTTTGATGTTGATAATGACTTTTAGGTGGCCCTTCTATTATGAGATCCCACTTACGTTCACATCAACAAAATATTACATTTTTTGATCAAGTTTGCACTTCTTATATGTTCTAATTGTTCTGCCTGCTGAGCGCATTATATTCTGGTCACAATTTTGGCTGACTATTCTATAGGCTGACCTAAAACACACATCAGCCTCTATCTACACTCCAGCACCTCTAAAATGCCGCTGAAATTTTTATAGAGAGCTTGAGACCTACTAAACTAGCTGCTAACCAGTCAGTTTTGAAGTCTTAAATTAAAAATTCTGTTATTTCGGTGGGCACACTTGGATTTTTAGGATTTGATTTTAATTTGTTTATTCTGACCTGGTTAGAAGTTTATATTGTTACATGGACTCTCCAAGTTTATGAGTGTGCTATTGGTAAAATGTCAACATCTGCCATGCAGAAACCTAAAGAAGTAAGCTTAATACTTATGATATGTTACAAAGGAGGAGGCCATCTACTTGTTTTTACCTACAATGATGCATTATGTATAGATGTAATAGTGAAAGTATGGATCATCTATTCCTTCATTGTCCCATTGCATTATCTTTGTGGATAAATTAATTGAGTTGGTAGGGCTTTGTTGGGTGGTTTCGAGATCTATTTCATCAATGTTTTGTGTGGATTCTCATGGATTAGGCGGAGGAGGGAAAGGTGTGGCACTATGGCATTGTGCTTTATTTGCCATTGTTTGGGTTGTATGGATAAAAAGAAATTCGAGAATTTTTGAAGATAGAATGGAAGTGGTGGAAGGACTCTGAGAAAAAGACTTATTTTTTAGCTTCTTTTTGGGCCTCGGTGACAAAGGAGTTCAAGGAAGTCCCTCTATTTTGTATTATTTCCAATTGGACTGCATCTTGCCGATTTTAAAAGTTTGGTTTAGATTGGTGCTTGTGGTGTTCTCTTTTGTTTTTGTCCACTTGTTGGCTTGTCCTTTGAAAAACATTTTATTAATAATCATAGTGAAATATTACAAACTTTTAAAATAAAATAATGATGTGACTTTTGATGCTCATTAATCAGTGCAGTCGGTTCGTGCACTTGACTTAGATGAGTAGAAAGGGCCACACTAATTTGTGGAAAAAGCCTAAATAGCACCATTTCTTAGTTCCTTCATTATTACATTGGCCAACACTCAAATTAAGTGTTCTGTAGAAATATTCTTGTCACAAAATATTTAAACTGTCTAAAAATACCTGGCTCTTGATTCCATTCACAATTTAAAATTTGAAGGAACTCTGTATGAGGTAAAATATTTAGATGTATGCATTGGTTTTTGTTTTGGTATGCTATTCTCTAGTTTCTCAGATTTGGTGCTTCACAATCCCTCCTTTGCCCCCACTACTTGTGAGCGCGCATGTGAAAAATGATGCTTGTTGCTTCTATCTTCCATTTTCTGAGTTTCTATTCTCTTGGTTCCACTACTTTTTAAATTGTGATCCATTTATGTGCTGTTATTTAGTTGTATGGCATGTGCAGGGTGCAGGGATTGCAATCCTTCCACATTTATCTGATCTGGTTTGTTGCATGCTGGAAAGTTTATCAAGTCTTGAAGACCAAGGGCTAAATTATGTTGAGGTTTGGATGATATTATATGCTACTCTAGCATAATTACTTTTTATGCAAAAAAATTTATAATTGTAGACTTTCTCCAGATTCAGCTTCTTTTCAGGGCTTACATGTTCAGTATTATAGTGTTTTGGCTGTGATTTTATTTTTTCCCATTATTGTATTCATCTTGAGATGGCATTGTTTTTTGTCTTATTGTAGTTGCATGCAGCAAATGTTGGAATACAGACTGAGAAACTTGAAAATTTGCGAATTTCAATTGCCAAAAGTTCTCCAATGTGGGAAACTCTTGACTTATGCATAGAGGTCATCGATGCGCAATCCCTAGAGCTGTTGGTTCCTCGTCTTGCTCAGTTGATTCGATCTGGTGTTGGCCTCAACACTAGGTATAATTATAATGCATATGTCTACTTCATAATTTGTCTGCCAAATCCTTTTATATTTCTTTGATAGTAGTATTTTTTCACTTGTGTTTTGTAGGTTGTACCTGTAAATCAGAAGTTTGCTATTAACCTTGGATTAAGCTAAATTTACATTGTCTTAGTAACCAAACCCAAAGTACCAGTGGTAAATCACACTTTGGAGGATTGGATTTTAACATATGCCCTGTTACATGAAAGAAAGAATTTGTTTGAAGGAAAAAAAATTCAACTTAACAAAGCCTTGTCCTTATTATTGGAGGATAATTACGTAACCTGTTCCACCATTAAGCTTATCCAGTGTGAAGCAGTTATCATAACATTTTTAACCATTTTATTCAAAGTCAATTTCGGTCTACCTCTACTCCTCGCATTACTATTGATAGGTATTACATCACTCTTCCTCTCTGTTTCAGTAGTAGGTCTTATGTAAACATGTCAAAACCACCTCGCTTCGTTTCTCTCTCTTAACTATCTCCGAGTGTGCTACTTGTATCGTTTCATGAATATGCTTGTTGGTAATAGTTTTTTTTTTGGTTTTATCACACATCTATCTTATCTTTGTATTTTCTTGGGTATTTTGTGTTTTTTGTTAGATTTATGGATTGAATCTATGCTTCTAGTCTTTTTGAAATAGTCATGTGACTGAGCTTTAAGTTTATTGGAGGACTAGGATTAAATGCCCATTGAAGTAATCAAGGAATAGGATGCTATTGTAACACTTGCATAAATACTCTTTTATGAGTCTTCGTAAGCAGTTTTCTTATAATCATCTCGAACAATTAGAAATGCAATCTTTCTTGGGTCTCTTGCTCCAGTAACTCATTTTTCTTATTCCATATTTGTTCATAATGCTTTTACACATTGTGTTATTACTTGGAATTCGTTAAAGGGAGAAGGATTATTGCTCTAAACAACTACTTTTAACAAATTTGGAAGTTTACTATATCAACTTGGTATTAGAGCTCAAGAACCCGAGATTTACACTATAGTTGGACGTGGTAAACGTCGTGGTGGAAGATGAAATCATTTTTAGCAAAACAAAAAAGTTGAGATGAGGTGTGTGATAGAAGATTTGTCATGGGTTGTACAATCGCTGCCGTGTTGGATATGTACGGAAGCTCGTATGGAGATTTACGAAGGGAAACCCCGTCCTTTTGGCATACTTGAAGATAGTCCAGAGCATACTGATTATGACTTCGAAGAGGAGAACCCCTCATTTCATGAAAATGAGCAAGTAGATAACATGAACTGGGGCAGCTTGGAAGAGAGAGGTTGGTGCATCTTTTGAATTTAAGTGTAAGCATTAAAATTAAAGTTGCTGGTTTTTTTGGAAATATGCGTGTAAAAGATTATTTATATTGGGAAGATAGTTTGTAGATCTATTTTGATTGGAAACCCATGGTTGAAGAGAGGAAGGTGTTGTTTGTGGTAAGTTATACAGTATTGCAATTCAATAGTGGGAGCGAATTGAGAAGCAACAATCATGGCAAGGCAAGCCAAAGATTGGGAATTTATGCAAGTTAAAATGGGAAAGCAATAGTTGCCAACTAATTATTTGATGGAGTTTTATATGAAAAGATCTATTTATTGAATTAAGAGGCGTGGCAGTGCAGGCATACACATTTGAATTTAACACTCTTATCTATTTGTGTTGGTTTAAGTGAGAGCAATGAACAAAATGACTTTTCGTTATCTTTTGGGCCTGATCCAATCGGTTATTGATGAATGGAAATGATTCATTTGTTCAACTTAGATGAAGCTTGACAAAATGCTTTAACAACTAAAAAGAGAACATGGTGTCGGGTTACGATAAGGCCATCATCTAGGCCCATTGAGCGTGTAAACAAATAGATACAACTATTGTACAGGGCATTCGATAACGAACAAAAAACCTCAAAACTCGATTGAGTTGGTCCCATAATGAACCAAACAAGTGGTTGAAGCATTGGGACGGCTGCAATAGGTGAGAATGAAGGCAATTGGAAGGTTTTAAGAAAAAGAGTTGCGAGTGTAAATAGTTCAACGGTAGGTAACACTTTATAGGCTCGTTAATTCACTTGTGGAGAAAAGAACACACATCTTATGCATTTCCACAATAAAAAGGTTAACTTAGTAGAGCTCTGGGATGAGAAAGAGGAAATATTGAATGCGTGATGTCATATATCCAAACATGGGTGAAGCAGTTCGGGATGAATGAAAATGAAGACCAAATTTGAGTAATCAAGTGGGAAGACGAAGGAATTGATCAGTGAGAAGCATTCACATATCAATGATGGGAGAAGATCAATGGATTTATATCACTATATATTTCCACATGTTGTAATTGTAATGCTTATATGTTAAAGCATCCAACGTAAAATCACGTGGCAATGAAAACAGAGGTCCACAAGGCTTATATATTAGTTTGGTAAGTGTTATTTTGTCCATTAACAAAATAAAACTCTAATTTGGGTCGATTATAACTAAGAATTATCAATAAGGTAGCTTCTTATTAAATTTTTAATGATATCAGAGCCACTGATCTAGTTGTGGTATGTAATTATACATAAACTCTCTTGATCTGATTCCTTTTGTTGCATTATAGATTCAAAACAGACGAAATGCCCCTTTTGAATTCAATTTATTACATAGAGCACCATTTCACCTTAGGACAATAAAAATATTAGAAGATACAACTATTTTACGTGTTCCCTTATTGTTTGACTTTCTTTCTGTTGACCATTGTCTGTCATTTGCCACCATTGACCCTCCTCATTTTTATGAGAATGTTTTCTGTACTTATTCAAATTCCTCATTTTAGCAGAATAATCACTGCAGTCTCTTCATCTTCCTTATAAGCAAAATTGTTGTCAAATAACTACCATGAAAAATTGAAGTTGAAGCCCTTGTTCTTACTCTTGGCCACCGGGTGGAATTGTTATGAGTAAATTGTAAAGTTTTGACTAAACAGTAAGGAGAATGATATAGTTAGTATCTGTGATCAAAATTTATTTGTTTGAATCATTGAGGTACATGTTATTTGCATTAAGTACGGATGCTCATTGCTTATAATAGCACCATTGACAAACACTATGAGAGATATATCTTTCATTGTTGGCTCAGATGGATCAAATTATTACTTTTTAAGTTGAAAAATCCCTGTAAGCAAGAGTTTCTTACTATCTACTGCAAACTTTACAAAAATTTACTAACAATAGAAAGTGTGTTAGCTGTGTATTTATATTTGCAGGTCAAAGAACAAAATTGGGGAAAAATGTGCAATTGTGTTTAAAATTTGCACAATATAGTTGTCTTTAAAATTTCAGACAATGATGTACTGAATTTTCCGGGATGGTTCCTCCATCAGATTTTAGATGTCTGCAGTTGATTCACATCTGACTAATGTTTTCTTTGATTTATTGTTGCTGCCACAGGGTGGGTCTAGCCAACTTTATTAGTTTGTTAGTTCAAAAAGTTGGTGTCCGCATCAAACCGTTCACTGGCATGCTGCTGAAGCTTTTGTTTCCAGTTGTTAAAGAGGAGAAAAGTGCTACGTGCAGACGTGCGTTTGCAAATGCTTGTGCAATAGTTTTTAAGTATGCAACTCCCTCTCAGGCCCAAAAGTTAATTGAAGATACTGCAGCTTTGCATACTGGTGATAGATACCTTCAGATTTCATGTGCGGTTCTATTAAAAAGCTATTCATCAATGGCCTCAGATGTGCTGAGTGGATACCATGCTGCAATTGTACCGGTTATTTTTGTTTCAAGGTTAAAATCAAACTCTTACTTTCAGTTGCTTCTATTTTAAGATATGTCATTCGTGACTTTAATGTACTTGAGTCAGCATAATCTGATACCTCATATCACATGTAAATTAGGCGATTTACACGCGCTGTCTATATGCTGGTAAAATTACCTTGAATATTTTTTACGATGCAATGCTAACTAAAACATTTGTAGGCTGTGGACATCACAGAGCAGTTACCCAAATAAGTAGACATCTAAGAGCAATCATTAAATCCTTCAGGCATCTCAGACAAATCATCAAACTCTTTCGTTAGTAAATGCCAAACATAGCATCACCCATTGTGGTGTTAGCTCCATTGCATTTCACCCCTTCGGTTCCAAGAAACCGCATAACACTCCTGTGGTTTTGGACCAATTCAGTGTAGTGGTGCCAAAATTGAAGATAAGCTATTTTGCAACCGCTGTAATCTGAAGAGAAGCTATTTTGCTGCCAAAATTGTCACGAGAGAAAGACCAAAATATTCTTAAGAAACAAAAATGGATCTCTCTCTCTCTCTCTAGATACACACACACACACACACACACACACATGCGCGCGCGTGTGTGTGTATCTGTATGTGTGTGTATATGGGTGGTGGGCTTGGTGTTGGTTGGTGGTTGGTATAGAGCACTGGTTGACCGTGTCTGATTTGTGGTGGTATGGATGGGGGAAGAGGCGGAAGAAAGAGATGAGGGTGGGGGAAGGTGGCGAGTGGATCTAGGAGTGAGTGGAGGTGGGTGATTTCCACCTGGGGTTGGGGGTGGGTTTTCTTACCTGGGGTTAGGAAGGGTTAGCCACCCCCTTGGAGAAAGGGAGGGTGGTGGTGTTGCTGTGGTTGGGAACAGATAGGGGTTCTCTATCAAGGGTGGGAAGTGGGGTTGCTGGGGTTGGGAGTGGGGGTTTTCTGCTTTGGTTGTAGGTGGGGACAGGGTGTATGTCAGGGTTGTGGACAGGGTTATTTTTGTGAGCTTGGGATGGGGGTGGTTATGGTTGTTGGATGGTGGTTATAGCTGGTTTTTGTCTTTTGTAAATATGGTTGATTTTGACTGAAAAGTAACTAACGTGTTTGATCATGGATATTAAGGTTATTTTACAAATACTGTTGATGAAATTAAATGAGTTTGCATGTGTTTAGATGGTCAATTCTGATTTTAGATTATCCTGGCGCTAGTAAAAATCAATATCTTCTGCTGCATTTTCCAAATTTCTTCATGTTTTTATATTTCATTTTATCACTTCAGTAAATAGGATGTATCAGTTTCGATGATTGTTTGTTGATCTTGGATATGTTAACCTCATGAGCATTTTGAATGGAATACCTTTTCTATATTTTCAATTCCAAAATGGTAAATTTTTTGAAATATTCTCAATTCAGAATTTACTTTTATATCTCTGGATATATCAAAGAAGTATGTGGCAACTGTTCACCGACTTGAGTTAATTTGGGAGGCGGAGAGATGGTGCATATAAGAGAAGTGGAGATGATGATGTCGATTTTTAATTTTGAACCATTTAGCTTACATTGCAACATATATAATTAGAATTCTATTTGATACTTGTTATTTACCGGCCGACATTCACCTTCTAGACCACCTTATAGATGTGAAGTTTTCTCTCTCACTAATTACTTAATCCATTTTGTTATTGACATTCTCAAGCTATTTGTGATCTCAAAAGGTTTTCAAAGCCATTAAGGAAATATATAATTGCATTCCCCCTTATCAATCCAATGCTGGGTGATCTTTGTTGTCCCCAAGACAATAATTAGGTAATAGACTTTGGACAATGATTGGGGTCGGGTTGAAGATTTCCAACCCAAACTAACCTATTTTCGTTGATGATGACCAAAGTTTTGGTTTGGCTCCCGGTCCATATGACAAGGTCACGATTCAAAACACTAAATGGTAATTGAATCCTATTCCATCCTTTCCCACTCTACACTCCTCCCCTCTTGCCCTCCGCTACAGAAAAAGGGAGGGAGCGAGACCTGTATAACCTGACAAGATTATATTACTAGAAGTCACTTCGCCTTGCACTCTACACCTTCCACAGTTCGTATCAGTGTTATGTGCATCACAGATTATATTTCTATTATATTTTCACTTCTCCTTTTCTCAGACTTATTAGGGAACACAATGTTGATATTCTTCTTTCATCTTCCATGTGTGCGTTCTAACTTTTAGAACAAATGGCTGTTTTCCCTGATTTTGATTCTTGTGCAGATTCTTGGAGTGGCACCATTTCCACATTTATTATAGATGGAAGATTAATAGGCCATATTTTGGTTGAAGATTTTCTTGCTTTTTTTTTCGCTTTTTAATCATTTGTCTTGGGCTACAAGGTTACTAGGTCAAATTATGTGTCGCATGTGATCTGTCAGCATATTGATTGGTTTGTATTTGTATGGTTTGTTTGGGTGTGATGACTATTTCCGTAATCTGATATGCTGATGGAATTAAGAGACTGCAGAACTGATAGTGTATAACCGGTTTTTAATGCTTCTTGGTTTCTTTCACTGATAGGATAGTAATTGTTTGATGCTTAAAGTTGCGAATCAGTCTTTGAGCAAGTCCACTATATTATGCTGGCCATGTTTCTCAAGGTGCTTAGTTTTAGAAAGAGGGCTCCAAAGTTTTGTTGCACTGTTACGAGGTGACTCAATGCTATTGTTGAGTTATTTCAATGCGACCAGAACTAACATCGAGCCTTAGGTAACCCGTGCTTTATAGTCAATGGTTTGTGAAATCATTTACTCCCTCTGTTCCCCGTGAAGCTCAGCTGAGTCAACATGGACTTGAGTAAGTCGTTTGTGCTGGAAAAGATTTGTAGTGCCAGATGGCCTGACCTCAAAAATACCTTATTTCTATGTACCTCATATTTAAAATAGACAATTTAACTCAACAAAGCCTTTATCCCAAGAATTTGGTGTCGTTTACATGTATTCTATTTCACCATTGTGCTCTATCAAGGTGATATTTTTCATTAAACTCTTTTTATTATATCTTTTTTGACTATTTTGTACGAAGTTATTTTCAATTTACCTCTACCTCTCGTATTACTATTGATACATTTCAAAATGTGATATGACAAGCTGATCATAAGATCATAATGTTGCAAATAACTTTAAGTATTATGAGGTATCAAAATACCGAGTCGATGATGTAACATTTACGCTAGTTAGAATCCCAGGTGCAAGCTTAGACACTCTAACGAAGGAATCATCCCCTGGGATCCCCGCTCGGAAGTTCACTACTAGCTACTGGAAAGAAAGTCACTTATGAGAAATAGAAATGGAGGACAAGTTGGTTTGAGGACCTGTGGGTCAAAGGAAAGGGTTTTATTCTTTTCAGATATTGAGGTCAGTCGGGTTACAACCAAAAGGACGTTTGCAGTAGCCTGACCTCCTAGGTGTCAACCTAACCCCACCCCTGAAACAAGTCATATGTCTCGGGGAATTTGGTCAAATCAAGTCCTTGTGATTGTGAACATAATGAAGCATTACTACTTCAACCAGATGAAATCTCTCTATTATCATTCTTCCAATTTTGAATTTACTAGTCCTCTTGGAGTGCTTCTATGGTTGACACTGAGATGGTTTCGTGCCGGCAGAGTTGTGCAAGTGATAATTGTGTGTTTACAATTTTATGATTTTGCAATTTTTTTTATCCATGACACATATTTTGCAATAGGGACAAAAAAAGGGAAAAAACGTTCTATAGTAGTAGATGCCTTTGTATGATCTTGAAACAAATACAAGTTGAACGAAGCCAAAATGTTATTTCTGATGCAGATTTGAGGATGAAAAGAATGTCTCTACTTTGTATGAGGAATTGTGGGAAGAAAATTTTAGCAGTGAACGAATCACCCTTCAATTATATTTGGAAGAAATTGTTTCTCTTATTAATAATGGAATTACGTCATCGTCATGGACAAGTAAAAGGAAGGTACGCATTACCTTCTCTTTATGTTTGTGTGCTTATGTTGACAGAGAGAATACATGAATTTTACATTTGAGATGTTTCTTTTCTAATTAACTTTTTTAATTTTCTTCTCTCTCTGGTTGTGTGCTTGTGTGTTTTTTTTTTGTGTGTATTCTGAACTTGTAGGCGGCCCAGGCAATTGGTAAGCTTAGTGAAGTCTTGGGTGAATCACTATCTTCATATCATCATGTGCTGCTCACATCTCTTATGAAGGAAGTTCCTGGTCGCTTGTGGGAGGTAGGACTGTATTTTGTAATCTTTATGTGAGGAATATAGCACATTCCAGTGAATTATAGGAAAGGGTAAAATAATTTGTCTGGCTGTCATTCTGCAAATATATCACGTGTTCATCCTTAAGTGCTTGATAAACTTTCAATCCTGGATAGTCATCGATCTCTTTCATTGCACAAACTACTTTTTCATCATCCAATATATTTACTCATTTTACTCGATGTATCATGTGTGGTTGTATCTATCTTAGCGCCTTAAACTACATTTTTCTTCATGGCCTTGCTTCTGCTCATTAATTCATGTTACTTGTCTAACTTTGACCATCTTCCCTTCTCTTGTCCTCAGTTGGTGCCACCCTTCTGCTGCCACCTCTCTTTCTCAACAGCCCCTGTTTGTCTTGCTCAAGAAACTACACTTTTTTGTTTGTTTCAACCAACACGACCGAAATGCTATGGTTGCTATGGAAACCAAAAGGAAGATTGAATATTGAAATTCCTATGTTTAGAGATGTTTTGACTTATTTCGGAATATTTCAATTAATGCTGGAAATAAATTTTCATGTTTCTGAAGCATTTCTAGAACGTGCTCACTTCTCGGCTAACTATATATCGAAATGAAATTTTGATCATTCGTCGTGCTATAATCTGAGCATTTTTTTTCTTATGCATAATTCAATGTTGTGATTGGTGTTAGACTATCCAAGTGTTGCTGTTTACTCACTTTTTCTCAAGTTAACCAAACTTCTTTTTTTACATATTGCAAACATGACCTAATGAATTTCTTAGAGTATAAATGCACTCTTGAATCTTTCTTGTGTGATAGATGTTTTCCCCTTATGTCACATATGACTATAGGGGCTTAAACATTGTCTTCTATTATATGTATTAAGCAACCATCTATTCTAAAAGTTTAAGCTATTGGAGTAGATGTAACTTAAGTATTTATACTTCAGCAGTATGCTTCTAGTGAGTGGAAATCAGTTGTTTCCTCCGACCTAGGAAATACGGATATGGACACGGGGATACAATAAAGTTAAAAAATATGGGATATGGGTACGACTATTAAAATAGTATATATATTTTTTAAATAATAATAGATTTGTAATATATTAAAAATAAAACATATTATAAAAATATTAATAATAAGACCTAACAAATATTATTTTTTTGATTAAAATTGAAATAGATCAAATTAAATATCCACCATTTTCATCAAATATCATTGCATCTATTAACATTTATAGTATATAAGTTACATAGCAAAAAATATATTAAAAAAAGTAAAAATTACACTCCTTTTAATAGTTAAAAGTTATTTTTTTTTAAAATAAAAAAATTGTTGGCCGTGTCCTGGCCGTATCGTAGACGTATCCTGACCGTATCGTAGACGTATCCTTGCCGTGTCTGACTGAGTTCACTATTCAAGACACTTCTAGCCATGTCGGACACGTGTCCGGCCGTGTTCGTGTCCGACACAGCCACTGCACCCCTGTGGGAAATATCCGTGCTTCCTAGCCTCTGACTGTTCTTTTTCTGGATACTTTCCCATCATACTTGTCCCATCTTATGTGACTTATCATACTTGTCCCATCTTAAATGTGACTCCTTTTGTGAGGACTTCTTCAAATGGATTTTTTTTTTCAATGAAATGAGAGCCGTCTTCTTTTACTTATATGCAAATAGCATTTTATACTATGCCCTAATAAACGAAGTAATAAAATTCCATTTATGGTTGATCATTCATATTGAAAAACTAATTGGTTTAATGGTGACTCTCATTTGTCAATCCTTGTTCAATCACCCTCCCAAGAAAATTTGTTCTATGATTTTGTTTCTTCTAAAATTGATACAGTAAATGTTTAGTGCAGCATTTACAGTTTTTCATCGGAAAATACTTTCCAACCATCTATGATGCACTTTTATAGCTTTTGCAAACCATTTATTAGGTTTCAATCGTTGGATGCCATCAGTTGTACACTTCCAAGCTTGAGTTCAAGTAATTTCAGTCCAAATTGCTTCTTCTACATCCCTGTTTCTTTTGAATAAACCGTTTTCTTCAAAACGAATTTTATGCTTAGTTTCTAGTGCAGTTGGAGTCTACTAAGTTGGATTCACTATTTCTATTTTTCTTGTTACGTGCCGGGGGGTGGGGTGGATTTTGTATTCTTGAGAATTCAATTTTTTTGGGTGCCACAGCGATAGAGAAACATTGGGTTTTGCTTCTCTACTTGACATTTGTCATGATTCCCATCCTTCTTTTCATGATCATAGGCTTTGGACAGTGGATAAATCTGATAACTCCTCCGGTAGGAAGTGTGAGCTACTACTTCTGCTTTGATTGGCATGGTTGCCCCTTGTTGCTGGGTGAGGGTCGGCTTGATCATTTTATTTGTTTCTTGGAAGCTCCCCGAATGCCGAGTCAAATTGTTTAGACAAATTTGTTTGTAGTGCGAAAATTCAGTCATCGATCTTTACAATTCTGCTTGCCACATTCAACAGAATTCCGCAGAGAGACACGTAGTAAATTGGATTCCTTCATAAATCTGATTCAACTGATGTCACCCTTCTGCCTTTTGATATCAAGGCTATTTTCCATCCATCGAATCTCTTTCAAATGTGATGTACATTATTGGTCACCCTTTGTTCCATTTAACATTTTTACTTCCTCGTGTTTCTGAGTTTCTAGTCTCTTATGTCTTGATATGATAATCTCCTTGCATTTTCGTCTACTTGATTTCTTTAGTTAGGCATATCAAAATGTGAAATGTGACAGGGAAAGGAAGCTCTGTTAGACGCATTATCTGCTCTTTGTATGTCTTGCCATGAAGCAATTACCATTGCGGATCCTGAAAAACCAAATGCTGTTTTGAGCATGGTATCTTCTGCATGCACAAAGAAAGTCAAGAAATATCGTGAAGCAGCTTTATGCTGTCTGGAGCAGGTAAATACACCATTGCTGTTTTTTCGCAAAGCATGATTTAAAGGCTTTCTTTTTCACAACAATTCTTTCTTTTCAACTTCTTTTCTAAATTGTGGATGTCCTTATTATGACATATAATTGCATTTCAATTCCCTTGTTGATTTATATGAGAAAATATGTTCTAATTTTTTCATTATCTTGGTAAGGATTCAAAAAATGATTGACCATACATTATGTTATATATACGCTTTCTAATCTAAATAATAGCCAACTTCACTTTAACATCTGGATGAGTGAGAGATAAATTAATTTCCTCACTAATCTTTGGTACCTCTCCTTATCTATAGCATCACCAACACCACCACTCAATTGATGATTAGCTTTGATAAGGGAATTTGCAGGTCTGCAACACAATATGCCAGTTTCTTCAAGAAGGTCGAGAACATATTTCCTTTGGGAGATAAACATGACTTTATCTGATTTGACAACCTCAATTTCAAGAAAGTATCTCCACGGATCATAGTCTTTGATTTCAACTCCTTAGCCAATTGAGCCTTGAGTTTGGTGACTTCTTGCACATCATTACTTGTTATCGCTATGTTATCCACATATGCAATGAGAACACTTATCATATCACTGTTATGTTTGATGTACGTAGTATGATCAACATGACTTTGTTTATATCCAAATTTTAGCATAGCCTTAAGAAACCTATCAAACCAAGCTCTAAGAGATTGTTTCAGCCCATAAAGAGACTCGTTTAACTTACACACCTTCCCTTCATTTAATTGGGATGAAAACCCTTATGGGATATCCATAAACACCTCCTGCAACTCTCCGCTGCAAACTTCAACCTATATTAGCTGCAAAAGGGAGAACGCTTATGGAGTTCATCTTTTAGCAAAGGTCCCTTAATAATTAACGTCATATGTCTGAGTGAATCCCTTAGCAACAAGTCTAGCTTTGTATCTCTCGACTATCCCATCAGCTTGTTGTTTGACAGTAAATACCCATTTGCACCTTACTCTTACTACAACAGGAAGTGAAATTAACTCTCATGTATTATTCTTTTTTAATGCTTTTATTTCTTATACGATAGCTTTTTTCCATTTAGGATCAATAGTGAAAGTTCCAATCCCTGAGGAATCGATATAGAAGACGAGGAGGAAAAAAAACACAATAGGATAATGATAAAGAATCGTAAGGGACAAAATAAGAGGTGGGATGTTGTGTATAAGCTCTAACGCTTTTTTTGACTTCAATAGGAAGCTTAAAATCATTAACAACTGAATTATTAATGACAAGAATAATAGCCGAATGTTCATTACCAGATAAATCAGTAGAAGATGTTTGAACCGGAGTTAGGAAATGCAATTGACTCGGTGACACATGGGTAATTTGTACTTTTTGATGTTGAGAATAAGTTTTTAGATTAGGTTGAGCACTATTATCACTTTTTGGTTCAATAGTTTGTAGCTCTCCCTTACTAATATCCCACTGAATAGATAATTGAAGAAAAGATTGTTGACATACCATCTTTTTTCCAATAATGGTATTCTCCTCAGAGATGGTTAAGAAGTAGGAAAAAGGTCTTTGATTGCCGAAAGGTTACATTCATGCTATCATACACCTTTTGAGATTGTGGATAAAATTTATATCATTTTTGGATAGCAAAGTTACCAATGAAAATACACTGCAAAGTTTTGGGGTCAAGTTTTTTCATTAGTAAGATAAGCAAAAGTAAGAATTGCAACATTCCAAAAAGATTTAGAAAAATATTTATAGTAATCTAATAAACGAGCAACCTCAAGAAGATGGTAATTTTTTCACTCGGCAACACCATTCTATTAAGGAGTATTTACACAAGTTGTTTGACAGAGAATGCCATTCTTATTGAGATAGGAGGGAAACTCCCATTAGTGCACTCAATCCCATTATTGCTCTGAATAATTTTATTTTTAGCATCAAATTGAGTGCTCACCATACTATGAAAAGATCTGAAGCAAGAAGGTTTCACTCTTAGTGAGGAGTAAGTAAACCAAGTAAGACAAAATGACAATTGATAAAAGTGATAAACTAACGATAGCTGGATATAGATACCACATGAGAAGGTCCCCACACATCATAATGAATAATCATGAAAGGAGCAATGCTTGTGTTATTATTATTAGGATAAGATGAGTATTTATGCTTGTGAAATTCACAAGCGTCACAGTCAAAAATATTCTTATTACATTGTTTCACTAAACTAGGAAATACTCTTTCTAAAACAACACCAAAAGGAGGATGACCTAAATGTCTATGGCCTACACATCTATGCCATTGATGTAAGAGCTCAAGAGCTGAAACACCATCTGCGTAAAGAGCTTGGCCAGTAGAATGAGAAGATGTTTCAACATCCAAAAGATACAGGCCATCATGTGTTCTATCACTGCTAATTGTTCTCCCAGTCTGTAGTTCATTTATTCTTGAGTTAGATACGTTCAAAAATGTTACCTGCTATTTGGGTATAATTCACTGATTTTTTTTTCTAGGCAGATAAGTGCTAATGCCAGTTCTAGTTTATGCTCTCTGGTCAAATGTTAATTCATAGAATTTCTGAGTTTGAATAGCTGCAGCTGAATTTCATTGTAATGCTATTTGTGGCATCCATAGGCGGAATAAAGCAAAGTGTAAATAACTTAGATGTAATATATTTTACAAATGGTGCACTGTAACCAACATATGCTGGAAGGAGGCGAGCTCTTCCCCCCCCCCTCTTTTTTCTGTCTCTGGGAAGAATATTTTTAGATCTTTCCCTCTTTTTGAGTGTTTGCCCTAGTGTTTCACTTGGGAAGTGTGTGTTTTATCTTTCTTAAAAATTATATGCTAGTTTCCTTTGTTTATGTTGTTTGCAGGTCATTAAAGCCTTCAGTAATCCAGACTTCTTCAATATGGTTTTTCCTTTATTGTTTGAGATGTGCAATTCGGCCCATCACATCAAGTCGGGTCAAATACCTATGGTCGGTGATGTTAAAGCAGGTGGTTTTCAATTTCATTTAGGCATCTAAATTGTCATTCTTTTTCTTAAGAATTTGCAGATTACATGGAACTGAGTGGTTGCATTTAAGCTTCATGTGGAAAACAATAACCTTTGGGAATATGGGTTTTGCTTTATGTTGGTCCAATATGATAGTATCATAGTTCCATCTTCAGTCACATGTTACATTAGCTTTTCCAGTTAGTTTAGTATCTGAGTTCTTTAGTCATGGAAGAACCCCTAGCATCCACCTAATACTCGTTGCTCGTTATACCTAAATCCCAACAGTCTGAAAATCATACATAATTTTCTAGTGAACTTTGGATTCGGGAAAAAACTCCAACCACGTCATGGACCTTATCAAGGAATGTAAATTAGTTTTCACTACAAGCCTGTTACTTAAGGGTATAGGCACGTCTGGCCTTCGAATAAAAGTCCAGTATAAAATTGGTCATCCTTGCAAGCGTCTAGCACTTGAATGTGCCATAAGATTCTTAGATTTTTTTAGCAAGAAAACCCATGCCTAACGTCTTCTGGACATTGCTTGCTTGATTTGTTGCTTTAATATTTGTGGTATTACTGTCTATTCTTTAATATTATTTATGAATTGGAATGTTTGTGGAAATAAGAAATGAAGTCATTTAAAATGGAAGTGATCGAAGTCATTTCCATGTTGAAAGTTAGTGTTTCTATGAATTTTCGATTTCAATAAATTGGTGAGTTGTGGTGATTGTGGCATTATGGTGTAAAAGGTACAAATTGCTTTTAAATTCCAATAATGATAGCAACAAAGCAATGATGTGGTTGGGAGAATATGGACAGGGCAAAGTGGTGAGTTTCTAATAAATTAGTGTAATAAAATTATCATTCATATTATGAAAGTGGCGGTTGAAACTTATATAATTTTATATTAGGGTATAGGAAAAGAAAGAAAAGGAGAAGAAGAGAGGAAAAAGAGATTGTGGAACGATATTTTGAGTAGAATGTGTACTGTTTACACCCTAGGAAGCACATATATGATTATGGAATACAGGTATAATATGATACGGATACAACGATACGATAAAATCTAAAAAAATAGGATACAGGTACGGTTAGGATACGTCTATAATAAAATATATTTTATATTTTACTGTTATTTAATGACTTAAAAAATATAATTTTTAATTATTATTTAATAATAGTAGGCACAATTAGCAATTTTTACATTGAAAAATGTATAATACTGTCTCATTATGATATATTTATAAAATGAATGTGATCAATTAAAGGAATCAAAACCAACATTTAACTAGCTGGTTTGTTTATAAGCATAGTTATCAAATCGTGTATCGGAAGGCGTATCGTAAGATACAAATATTGTATCGTATCGTGTATCGTATCGTGTATTGTAAGATACGGTGCGATTTTAAATAAATAATAAAAATATATATATACCTTTGAAAAAAAGCCATACACTCATAAAAACATAGCATTTCATTAATACTCCACCAACTATTCAAGTCATCAACATAATCCACTACTATTATAATGCAAAGTTCACAACCATAGTTCACTAATTCAAACTTTAAACACCAAAAAGACTTCTAATTCAAATTTCTAAAATCTATTTTGAACTCAATCTTCAATTTCAATTGAAAATGCATCATCATCATCATTGTGATCGGATGCCAACAAGTCTTCACTTCCTTCATCATCTTCAACGTTTTGTATTTGTTCATTCCTATCCTCATCCTCATCTTCAACTTGAATTATTTGCTTTCTTTCTTTCTTGTTTAAAGAAAGATTTTTAGGCCCTACAAAGCAACCAATACAAAATATATAAAAAAAAAATTTCAAAGTAATGGAGAAGAAGAAAAAACAACCACTACATTTTAATTACCTCTCTCTCTTTTTGCTAGTCCCTTCTTGAACCTCAAAACATTCACCAACATTCATCCAAGTAGTGTCCTCAGGAAGGAGTGCATCTTCTTTTTCAGTGATCCACTCATCATCAGATTCCATATCTGAGAGAGAAATAGGATCATAGGAATCACCCTTTAGTATTCTCTTTTGGTGTCTTGTCTCCAATCGAAGATTGTACTTCACAAACACAAGTGCACTTAATCTTTGCTGCTCTAATTGATTTCTCCTTTTAGAGTGCACCTGGTTAAATGTACTCCAATTCCTCTCACATCCTGTGGCACTACAAGTCAAGCTAAGGACACGGATAGCAAGTTGTTGCAATTCTGGACAACATCCTCCAAATGATTCCCACCACAAGGCTATAAAAAATTACAATAGAATACTCCATTAACTAACTTAAGCAATTGCATTCAAATGACTAACTTAAACTAGGTTACCACTAACCAAGTTGTTTCTTCTTCCTCATCTGGATTGCCATGTCCATTCCAAACATCAAATCAGTATTATGAAAGATATCTAATTGTTTATCAACTTTTTCTCTCACAATAGGACTTGGGCACATTCTCTAAATAGTTTGATAAAGTCCCATTTTTATCTCATAGTCCGCACTACCGGTGTAATGAAACCTGAAATAGTTATTTTGATTTATAATGATCGTTGATCAATATACAATATATAGATATAAAATGATATAAAAATTGAGAAAATTAAATCTTACGAGGGATTGAGATAATAGGCAGCTGCATGAAGAGGTCTGTGTAATTGCATGTTCCATCTAGTGTCAACAATAGTCCATATGGGCTCATAGTGCTTCTTCACATTACGAAAATTCTTTTGGATTTGTTCCTTTGCCTTGTTCATTGCCTCGTAAATATATCCCATGACAGGCTTTAGATCCCTATCTACAAGCCTCAACACCTTCACCAATGGCAACACACACTTCAAGCAATACTTGATTGATTCCCAAAAATTTTGGTCAGCTAGTATAATATCTGTTAAGAATAATAGGGTAGTATGTGTAAATAGTTAATAGTAAAAGGGTGTATGTGTTATTATTATTATTGTATATTAATTATAAATACAAGTTATGTATGAGAGTCTCTCTGTTTCTCCCAAAATATTGTCTCTAATATTATGTTAATCTTCCAAACTTGACATGGTATCAAAGCAAGATTTACGATCATAAATATATATTCTGGTCTGTTGTGGTGGTACTGTGTTTGATGAAGTTCGGTTGTTCGTGGGTGTTGGTGGTCTGTTGTGGTGTGGTCAGTGTGGTGCCTTTGTGTTCGCCGGAGTTCGATTGTGATCTGTTGTGGTCTTTATGTTCGTCGAAGTTCGGTTGTGGTCTGTTGTTTGTTGTGGTGAAGAGGCGTAGTCGAAGAATCTTTGTGGTAGTGGTGCAACTGTGGTGGTGTGCCGCAGTTCTCGTCGTGGTGTGTGGCGTCGTCGAAGACCAGAGGATTTTCTCTGGGAACCCTAATCTTAACGAAGGAGAAGAGGTCCAACGGGTTGGGTTGTGATCGGGTCAAGTCCATCAACTTAAATTATTTTAAGCTAGTTCAACCCACGGTCCAACCCAGACTCGGTCCAACTTAAGACCGGTTCGGTCTAGTTCAGCGGTTCAGGAGGTTAAACCGGCCCGGTTCTGTGATTCAGCAGGTAAAATTGGTTTGGTTCAGCAGTCCAGAGGGCTCGACCAACCCGGTTCAGTGGTCCAGCCCCTATTTCTAGCCTGGTTCAGCCCTCTAGCAAGTCCAACTAGTCCGGTTTAGTGATCCAGCCCTTATTTCCAGCCCAGTTCAGTCCTCCAGCAAGTCCAATTGACCCGGATTCTTATTGCAACACTTCTTATTTGCTATTTGCTATTTGCTATTTGCTGCACTATTATGGAACCCAAAAAACCACATCCCTTACTCCATCTTTGTCTCCTCCTACTCTTATCAATGGTCCCATGACCTCTGTCAAACTCAATGGGACTGCTTACACTTTATGGTTCCGATCTGTTCAAGTCTTTCTTCGAGGCAAAGGATTTAAGAAATATCTGGTGGGTTCTAAACTCACGGAGGACACTCCTGGGTATGATCAGTGGGAAAAAGAGGATGCTCAGATTATTTCTTTATTGTTGAATAGCATAGAGCCTAGTATTAGCTCTTCTCTGCTCTATCTTGATACTACTAAAGAGATATGGGATCACTTGACCACTATGTATTTTGGTACAGGTAATTTTACTCGTGTGTATGAGGTGTGCAAGGAGTACTTCTGGTTGGAACAGAGTACTCTGAGCCTTGCGGATTATTACTCTCATGTTCGGGGAGTCTGTGAGGAGATGAAAACTTACCATCCGTTTACTACTGATGCAGCAGTTTGGCAAAAGCAACATGAGGACCTGAATGTTGTTCAATTTTTGATAGGATTAAAACTTGGATATGAGGCTATTCGTTCTCAGATTTTGTGTGGATTTAGTCTTCCATCATTGCTGGAGGTTTTCTCTCGTTTACAGCGTGCTACACTGTCTACTCCTTCAGTCATTGATCATGGTGTCTCCATTGATCGCTCCGCTCTTGTAGTTCCTAATAGCCATAGTGATGGTCATCGAGGTGGACGTAGTGGTCGCGGAGGTCATACGGGTGGTCGTAGTGGATCCCGTTCCTGTACTCACTGTGGTCGTAGAGGACACACTGTTGATTTCTGTTGGGATTTACATGGAAAACCTTCTGGTACGACTAATTAGGCTTCTTATCAAGATGACACCTCTGTTGTTGCTTCCATACCTCGGTCAGCTCCACCAGACACTGGGTCGGTTACTATTACACTGGGTCGAGAGGAGTATGCTCAGTTCCTGTCCCAGCAACAAGCTGTTTCATCTCCCTCCACTGCTACTTTTGCCTAGTCAGGTACTGTTTTCACCTGTTTATTGTTCTCCACTCGCAGTCCTTGGATTATAGATTCTGGCGCCTCTGACCACATGACTGGTGCGTCTGACGTTTTCTCTACTTATCAGTCTGCTACTTCCACACGTAGTGTTACTCTTGCTAATGGTACTTGTTCTAAAGTTTCAAGTCTGGGGACTACTCACTTGAGTCCTGATATGTCCCTATCTTCCGTGTTATTTGTTCTTCAGTT